CTTAGAGACCTCAAAGCTAAAAGAAGAGGTGATGTTACGGACATGCAATTGAAGGAGGTTCTAAAAGATTCTAAAAGATTCTAATAGAATCTAAGAAGGCTCCAAAAGGTTCTATGAAGTTTTAGAAGTTTTTAGAGGATTCCAAAAGATTCTAGTAGATTCTAAGAAGGTTTTAAAAGATTCTAATAGATTCTAAGAAAGTTCTAAAAGGTCATAGGAGATCCTAGAAGATTCTAGGACGCTTTGGATTATTTAGAAAGTTACCAAAGAAGGATCTTAGGCTTGTTTTGTTTCCAAGTTTGCTTGGACTTCTATGAGAAGCTTGGGAACAAAGCTAAGTCCTAGGACTTAGCTTGTTAGAACTTAGCTTAGTTAGAATAAAACTAGGTCCTAGGAACAAAGCTTATTAGGACTTAGCTTGTTAGAACAAAACTAGGACCTAACTTTATTCCCAAGCTAAGTTCTAACAAGCTAAGTTCTAAGCTAGAACAAAGCTAAGCCTCAACTCCTATATATACTAGGTCCTAGGAATCTTCTTGAGAAGTTTCTATGAGAAGCTTGCGAATAAAGCTAGAACTTCTATGAGAAGTTTCTATGAGAAGTTTCAAACTTCTCAAGAAGCTTTTTAGGACCTAATATATACAGGAGTTGAGGCTGAAGAGGTCCTCAGTCTCGACAACTCACTTCTTGTGGTCTAGTCAGGATCTTCTTACCTTGTATTCAGTTGTTGTTCTAATGTTAAGCTAACTCCATTTCTTGGTCTTAAATCCTTCTCTTGTATATAGCCCCTAATATTCTAAGCATTCTAAGAAATTTTATTTTAGTTGATTTTTTAAGAAATAAAGAAATTACATTAAGTTTTGGCAATGATAAATGCATACTTAAATAAATAAATAAAAATAAATAAATAAAAATAATACTACATAATAAGATATCTCCAACAAACTTTATAAATTTGAAGAAAATACAATAAGGGACTCCTTGGAGGTCAAGCATAGTCCTACAATTATAACTTGTATTTTGAATTTATACAACAACTTATAACTTGAAGAAGAATTTTGCCACAATTCTTTGGTACCAACATTGTAGGTACTTCCATCCTCAAGGAATGTGCCAAATGATAAGTTCTAAGTTATGAAAGAATTGTTAAATATTCCAATAAGAGATCTTAGCTACTCAACATGTTTCTTAAAAAATAGAATCAACAAAAGTTCTTAAAGATAAAAAAAAAAATTGAAACAAATAAAATCCTTGAGCTAATCCATTGTGATGTAATAAAACTATTTTAATTTAGATCTTTGAGAGGAAAAATATTATTTTTTATATAAATTAATGATTTTTTTAAAAAGGCATGGATGTACTTCTTTCAAAAAAGAACCAAGTCTTCTTTGAATTTCAAATGTTTCATACATAAATAGAAAAGATAATAGGCAAGAAGATACATACTTTAAGAACTAACAATGATTGAAAATATAAATTGAGAAAATTCAACTCATTTTGTTCAAAACATTTAGAATTTGGAGACAGTTATTTCAATTACACACTCCATATTACAATGGAGTAGTAGAATGTTATAATCACACCTTTTTAATTATTTTTTGATATGTTTTTTTAAATCTTCTTGATAATCTTTGAGTTAAAGCAATTTGTATTGCATGCAATATAGTAAATCTACATGCACCTTTAAGTTATTTCTTAACAAGACTCTCTAAGAATTATTTTTAAAATAAAAACTTAATATATATAAGCTTTGAATTTTTGAAACAATAATATATATATATATATATATATATATATATATATGAAGTCCAAATTCTTATCCTATATTTATCAAAATCATGACAACCATATGAAAGAATATAGATGTTATAATTCTACTAAAAAACAAGTAATGATTTCTAATGATATATGTTTTTGAGAAAATACTCCATTGATCATATCAAAACAAAAAATTGATGAATTCACTAATTTATCATGATTGGCTTTATCTATTTCTATGTTTATTGACACTAAATTTGAATCTAAAAAAAAATCATCAATACCATCACCAACAATAAGTTCTAATAACTAGTACTTAGACTCTTTTACTTCATCAATGCCACCTCCATCTCCACTTTGGAAGTCTATACAATTACATAAACTTTATTAATAATATATACTCCTTGATTTGTATAAAAATATTATTGATCTTATTAAAAAAATATGTAAACATATTACTTTTCAAGAAGTTTGTTTTGATAAATAATGGATTAGAGCCATAGTCTCAAAATTTTGCTCTATTAAAAATAAAAATAAAAATAAAAAAAGACATTAATATCTCTACCACTTAGCATACTGCTTATTATTACTTATTGGATTTTTAAATATAAACATGGCTTTAATAATCACCCTACAATAGAATTTATATTCAAAGCAAGAATTGTGGCAAGAGGCAACAAATAGATCCATGCCATTGATTTCCAAGAAATATTTACCCTCACTATTTGTTGGAAGTATATTAGATTTATCACAAAGATTGCAAGTCATTAAGGTTGGCCTATTTATCACCTTCATGCCATCATTGTCTTTTTAAATGAAGACCTTACTCACACTAAATACATGCTACAACCACCAAGATGTGTCATCCTTGGCAAAGAACATTTAGGATGTGGTTTGTTATGATCTCTTTGTCTTCTTTGCCAAAGCCCTTAAGTATAGTATGCTCACATGAATGCATATCTTTCACAATGTAGCATGACCACAACCTACTTTAATGTTTATTTCTTCCATAATAAATCTTTCATTACCATACTTGTCTTATATGTGGACAACCTACTCCTTACCAGATCTGACATTGCCCACATTACTTCTCCCACATTATTTGTACAGAAAATAGCAGTCTTTTCTTTTTCTTCCATATTAAATTTCTTTTTCTTTTTAAATTAATGTGTTAAATATCATGCCAATGCAAAATTTTGATGTGTTTAGATAATCAAATTGTTAGTGACAATATCATAACCCCTCTGTGCTGTTGGGATTAAAGCAGGAACATTTTGTTTAAAATTGTATACCTATTAGGTGCTCTGAAAGACTCCAATTTCTGTTTTCATCTGTTAAGCCACTAAAAAGTGGTTCCTTTTATTTTATTTTTGTAGTAACCAAATTTTAGTACTGTTCTAATAAAAAAAAATTGTGGGAGCATATTTTCCAACCTTTAAGCAATTGGTTAATTTCCCTCCTTGGCACTTTTTGAAAATAAAAGTAAATAAAATAAATAATTGATTCCTTGGACGGGATTCCACAAGAGCACGTTGATTTCAATTCTGACCTAATCATACTGGCTACTCGGAACAAATCTTAAAGCTGTTAGAGCTGAAATTAGCACCACGTAGGCCCAAAGTTATAAGGTCCTCAATTCCTTGTGTAATTTAGATCTTTTTCAGATTAAAAAAGTGTTTTAAATACACACACACACACACACACTTTTTTAACTCGGATACTATTCCGTCATCATAAAATAAATTCAAACCGAAATATGCAACTCAACAGCAGCTAGAAAACATGAGGATCTTTGTAATCCATGAAAGTCGAGCAAATTTGGAACACAGCAACTCAAGCCACATAATCATGCATTTTCAAACCACAGAGAGAGCCAGCAGGGTGTGCACAGTGGCATGGCGGTGTGAAGAAGGGCCAGCATTGTGGGCTCATGGCAAAGGGAAACAAGCATTGAAAAACAAGAGATGCTGGGAAGGGCTAAGCTGGAGGTGGGGCTGGTAGGCCTGCCCTACGCTTCTCCTCATTTGCAGCGTGGAGAATCTCTAGACCCTGGAGCGACAGCCATGAGCGGCGATCTCTTTCCTGACCCCAGTGGTGGCATGATGTCTTCACAACCAAAGGCATTGCCCTTTACCTGAGCACTGGCAACTCAGCACATGGCCTGTTTCACCATGGCCAACAAAACATATCCCCATTTGCTTGATTCTTAAGAAACTCGCAGAAATTTTCTATTTGTTTACATATCTGTTTGTTTTTCTCTTACTCTCACTCTCTAGCTTGCAATCTGAATAGTGGGCGGAATGGTTGTGAAAGATTCACATCGAACAACTAACTGCCAAAAGCTACCACCACCGAAGGCAAATTCCTGCAAAGAAATGCAACCACTCAGAAGGCACATGTGGGATCTCTTACTCTCAAGACCTCACAACATGCTGTTGATCGAGTTTGCAGGCTGTGGGGAATTGCTAGAGTTCAGATGTCAGCACACAGTTCCTTGTCATAATTCCGGCGACTTTCCGAGGCTTATGATTCTCTATGTGCTTTGATGAGGTCACTAGGACTGTACACGTCAAGTTGTTGAAGCCTTGAAGATGATGCAAGTCAATCGAATAGATGCAGTAAAATGGTGCAGATACTCATCCGTCCTTCGAATGCTGATTCGTGTGATGCGTCGGATCGACGGTCAGCGCTCCGGAGAGCCGGCTTCTGTAGCAGCAAAACAGCAACAAGACGAATTTCTCAAACTGGACAGGAAAAGGCAACAGAAGCTACGAGAGAATCAATCGGGGAAGATGCAATTGGGGGAGATCCATCGTGGTTGGTGCAAAGCCACAAGCGGGGACGAAGATTCTTCGGCAAGTTGCAGCAGCCCCGTTGCCGACTACACGAGCGCGTGTGTCTGCAGTGATGCTAATCTCTGATGACTGAGCTCAAGGCGAACAGTAACGATTGTCCACCGACAGATTCTAGAGAGATCGAATCGTGAATCCTTGCCAAAAATCTCATCCCAATTTACACAACAATAGATACCGAAAATCCAAATGAACTCCAGTGGGATTCGTGGAACCACTATCTGAAGTATTTTGCAGAAGCCCTGCATCTTCTCCATATGGAACAAGAAAGGCTTGAAATGAGAAGGATAACGGTCTAAAACTCGCAAGATGAATGATGTACCTAACAGACAAGTGCCATGATAAGGTCATGCAATCAAGGGAGAATAATGAGGCGCCATTTACAACATCGAAGCGAAATAGAAACCGATTCTTATGTTACTTCAGGTCAAGAGCTTCAAAGAGCTACTTATTAATGTGCCTAGGCTACAAGTTTGTAGACACTTCAAGTTCCAACAATAACTTTACAGGAGCATGATAAAAATATTTTCACAACTCTAACATGATGCATTTCTGCGCATTCAACTCCTAAATCTTGGCCGCTTGATCGGCAAGCAACGATCAACCAAACATACCAAGCTAAGATAGCTCGAATGTTACACGTAATTGTTCGGGAACCGGAGTGGGGTATCCAGCAAGAGGTTCAGAAACTGAACTACTGCATGATGGCAAGCAGGCTTCAGTATCCCTCCCGAATTGTCGTCAGGAGCACTTCCTGTCCAAGAAGGAAATAGGTTCCGGGCCCCGCTCTTTGGAGATATCTTCAACAAAAAACCTCCAGGACATATAATTGCTTTCCATCGTCATTCATCAATCCAAATTCTTTTGCACATGTGCCTATAAACCCTGTGGTGGATTCTGTGGTTGCCCCAAACTTGCTGCCCAATCCGCAATATACACATCCCAAGCGGACATGGATTATGACCTGATCAATGGGGACCCTTTCTCCAATCAAAGCCTGGATTTCGATCCTGTGTGTGTTTGTGTGATCATCTATACATTATGTTTAAACCCCCACCTCAAATTGGGGTCTGAAATATCGACGATCGTCGCCTCAGTAAGCCCACTCAGATTGGAGCCCATCAATGGATCCAGACATCGCCGGGAAGCCGGAATATGCAAGGAGGCGATTGAACGCCCTGAATTGGTGATCGTTGCCGAGCCTCCCGTTAGCGAGACAGAAGGATTGACCGCTGTCCCCGGTCACAGTTGACAATGGTGTCAAAGGAGAGTCGTAGGGGAACTCCTGGCCGAACGGTACATTGTCGCTCGGCCAGGTAGCGTGGTTCACGTTCAACCGCCCAATGCTTTGCGCTTCGTCCTCACCTTCATTGGTTGCGTAGAATGGTTCCGGTTTCGCTCGCATGCCATTGTTATTGTGACGGTGGTCCCATGACTTCATGGATGTCAACGAATGCTTGACCATGGTCTGCGGGACGGTCGGGTAGTTTAACATGTTTAAACTGATAGCGTTCTGGTTATACTGAGACTCCTTCATCGAGTTGCTGATGTCCGCAGCGGCTGAATTGGGTGCTTTGGAATCAGACACATGCACCCACTCCGGGGCCGGCACCGACGTGACATCGCCTTGAGCCAAAGGGACACCCCCTGCAAAATTGTCCTGGCAATTGTAGCACGAATCAGTTCCGGTACATGCATCGCACTCTCCGGAGTTGGTCACAGTGGGATTCGGGGAGCTCTCTCGGTGTAGAACCGAATACGAGTCGGTGAGCTGGTACGGCATGTCGCCACACATGAATCCGGGCTTCTTGTTCCCGGCAATCTTCTGGAAAACGCGGCATACCACCCATTCGTCATGCTGCAGAGCACCAGAGTTGCAAGTTATTACGACGTCGTCATCATGTGAGCAATGGTTTGATCCTGAGAGCCTGCGGAAATGAGAATGCGAACTAGGAAAGTGAGGATCCTGACTAACCATGGATCCTTGCGGCTGCTGGCCGTTGAAATGGCCAGGGAAGTCACTCGTCAGCCGATACTCATGCATGATCCAGTGGGTCTTCACGCCGCGAGGAGCACGCCCCCTGTAGAACACCAGAGTCTTCTTCATGCCCACCAGCGCATGCGTGCCGGAGTTCATGACATCCCTGTCCTTGCCCGTGGCCTTCCAGTAACCCTTTTCGGTGGCTCTATTTGTTCGCATTCCCGTCGGATACTTGCGATCCCGCAGGCTGAAGAAGTACCACTCCTTCTCCCCTAACTTCGCTTTCTCTGCAAGATCATTTCCCACCGAGGAAACTAATTTCAATGATTCGGTCCATCTCAGTTCACATGATCACCAAATTCGGAGGACAGCACACTACACCAGATGATACTGGAAGGATTGGGAGTTTGTGTCACCTGGAAGGTCCCACGGCTCGCATTTGTTTAGGTCCACTTCGCAAATGGTCTTAACTTCGAAGCCAGGCTCTCTGATCTTTCTGGCCAGGTAATAGACTACAAGCTCCTCGTCTGTGGGGTGGAAGCGGAATCCAGGAGGGAGATCCATGGTACACTCCTGCTGCTTCCCTATGGTCTTGGTGCCGTTGCACATGCTTGTCATGCAAGAGCTTGTATCGGCGATTACTAGACTAATTTTTCAAACCACAGATCAAGATTTCTTTACTATTGATGCGGGTCACGTATTTTTTTTAGATAAGGCTAATCGCTCCGAGGATCGAAGGGTGAATTATCTGCTACGTGACCAACCGCGATTACAGGTGGTGCTCATGTGAACCCAGAGGGTTGGGAATCTTGAAATCACTAGAGGCTGACGACGTGGTGGGACCTTCAAACGAGGGGAATCTCAAATGCATGATCTACGACAAATAAAGAAAGATTCCTGATCAGCAAGAAACACGGGATCGACTAACCGGAAATCTATGGCGGGGCTCGATGGGAACTGAAGAGCCTTACCTCAAGCGCCAGTGAGACGTGACGGAAGAAGCGGCACACATACAGAGAATAAAAGAGAGCACACCTGGTGCAATTTGTGGTCCGATTTGTTGGATAAGAAAGATTCTAGCCCCGACGCCGAAGAAAAATTCTAGCGTGTAAAATTTGTAGGAGTTTCGCGTGGAAGCGTAGGGAGAAAATTGGAACTAGCGACCGTGGCTGGCTAAGGCCTGAAGAGAGAAGACGAACACAGCGAGGAGAGCTCTATCAGATCATGCACTATGTAGAACTACTGGGTCAAGAAACGTCTAATTGTGGGATATGGGTATTTTCGAAGACGAAAGGGAGAAAATCGGGCAGAAAAGTTTTTGAGCTTGAGAACTTTCGAATTATTAGATTTTCGCGTAGAACACCAAAAAATAATTCTATGCAGTTGTAACTCGCATGTCCGACGTCTTCAAACATGCTCTGAAATTCTCCAGTTTCCTGTAAAGCTCCGCGAGGAGAAGATGCACTGCGCGTGGATCACGGAATCAACAATCTGCTTCACGTCTGCATGAGAAATTCACGGTTGTGAGGACCAAAGCGACGATGAATCACAACGAAATGCACAGGTCAAAGAACGTGGTATAATCATGGGCCACTCGGGCTGAGAGCAATGTGCAAGTCTACTTGTGAGCAGCTTTGTGCGCACTGTCGAAAGGCAAAATCCACCAATTCCATCACAGTGCTTCTTAAAACTACCATTCGTTCGACCGAACTCAACTTTTTTAAATCGATTGGCAATACCCCTTGCTGTCTGGGTTACAACTCCACCTCTTAAACGTCTCCCACCTACGTCAATTGAGCCACAAATATACCTACTGTTGTAAAACAGAGAAGTCTCAGGGGCGCCCCTACACTCACCCGGGCGGACGCGATGCCCGTCCCGTAATATCGCGACAACCACCGCCTTCTGAACGGAGCAGACACACTTGGATACTGGCCAGCTGAACCCTCACTCAACACTCCTAACATCTACACGACACGGGGTGAACCAGCACAACATCCCTGCCGGACGATTTCACGTGCTGGACTCCATCCAACCCCTTGATCAGCTCGTCTTCACCAACTGGTACTTTCGACCTGTACCGTCCCATTTTAAGAACGATGAGAGTGGGGAGCCCTGTTGCGTTTCGACCATGAAGACACTGCGTGCGTAGCGATGCACGTCTACGCATTCCAGACCAGACCCCTCGCACACAACCAGAAGCATTCAGTTGGTGGTGATGTCCCACTTACGAGAAGAAACTAGCCAGCACCTGCAACAGTTAGAGTGTTGAATGTAGACAAGTAGACTCGGCTAGCAGAACTCTAAAGGAAGCAAGAGGGACGAGTCTGTGGGGCAGAGAGATGGCACGGCAGGTGGGAGAACGCGGGGAGGATGTGGACGAAACGAGGGACCCAAGAGCAGCAACAAGACAGTGGTGGCGTGAGTGGGGATGGATAATTGGAGAGGATGTGGGGCGGCATCAGGGGATGGGAGCAGCAGTACCAGACAGACTAACAAACAAACGAGTACCGGGGGGGGGGGGACACACACACACACACACACAACAAAACAAAACTAAATTTTAAAAAATAACCTGGAGAAGAAGAAGACGAAGGTGAAGACGACGACGACGAAGGGTAGGGAGAGTAGCAGGAGGAAGAGAAGCAGCAGGAAAAAGAAGAGGAGGAGGAGGAGGAATGCCAATGGGAGGGTAGGAGAATAGAAATAGGAAGAGGGAGGCAGTATTGGAGCAACGCCCATCTGGTGCAGGGGGCGGAGACTCCCCCCGCCGGCTTTTGGGGGGAGCCGGCCCCTTCGTAGTCGGCCCGGCCCCCCGCCCTCTCCGGGCCTAACCCCCGACTACTTGCCCCTGCCACGCTGGCACTCCTCCTCATGTTCCCTGCCCCCAAACCCCAACATTTCAGCTCCCTCCTCAACACATTTGGGTCACTGTTTGACAATGAAAAGCTTAATTTAGAATTTGATCTTAAACATGGCCATTTTGACATGGCTAAGAACTGGTTTCCTAAGGTGGCTGCACATCCTGATGCAGAAGCTAATGATCTGGAATACTGAATCTACAACAATTGTTGGATGGCATCCAAAAATCAAAGTTCTTCTATGGATTCCATCATGTTGCTTTCAACATTTGGGTTTGTACACCAAGGATCATTGTTTTGATTATCCCAATAATGCTTGTTGCATGTAAAACATTGAAATTGGTGATTTGGTGCATACCTAGAATTGTACTACCTGGAGTTTTGATAGTTGAATAAATCTGGGTTGACTTTCATAACATGTAGTGGAAAATATTATTCAATTTTTCTTCACACACACATATATATATATATATATATATATTTGCAATTATTTAAGATATAACCATTCAAATGATCATCAAGCACTTTGAGATATTTACAGTATACAATCAATCCTCATAACATCAAACTAGAGGAATTTTTATGATTAAACCTGTATTTTTTAAAGCATTCAAAAACATTGTATTTAATGAAAGAAATAGTATCCTAAGATAATTATAATTATTATTATTATTTAAGACATGTTATGTAAAAATATCAGTAAACACTTCATATGTTGATATTGATAAAATTGAAAAAATGCAAAATATATTTCCAAACAAGTTAAAACTTAGAGATGTTGAATATGTTTTTATTTGTAACAATGGGATTTATTTTGCTGCTCTATTGAAACTATTGAAAAAGAGGTTGGCACAACACTACAAATTTGTTGTGAAATTATTCCAGCTATATACATCATCTCTTGTTTTTGAATTTCTCGATAAGACATGTAATATATGGGCTTAAAGTTATACATCCTTTGACAGAATATTTTAGAAATGTAATATTTAGTTGGGTTTTTTTTCCTCAAATAGTATATACAAAGTTAGCTCCTCTTAAGACTTCCATTAAATGTATGTGTGTGTGTATATATATATATATATATATGCATAAGTGTATTTGATGGCAGGGATAGATCTTGCAATTATTCACTACTTCAAAGAACTGGTGGTCAAAACAAAAAGTAGGTAGTAGAAGGAATCCTGCTGCAGGAATGAGTATTCAAGTCTAAAACAATAAGCAAAGATGAAGCCAACAATGCCCCAAACTTCTAACCAATAAACAAACACTCTGGCAATGCTTATCTAAGCTCCTGTGTTTTCTTAATTGTTGAGTTTATCTCTGTTGAATCTATGCAATTGGCAGCTATGGAAAAAATTAAAACAAACAGAAACAAAAACACATGTACACACTCATTCACACAGACCTGCAAACATAGTTGTGAGGGTGTCCCCTTTTGTTCCCTTGAATTAATCCATCCACTATTTATCTCTCCACTTTCTCTTCCTTCATTCATTCATTGGTGATGCTGGGCTTGAAGGTCTCTCAAATAATGAGGGTAATTTATATATATATATATATATACACACATCCATATCTCTTCCTGTATGCTTATTTATTTGTTGTAAGTGGAAAAGGCATAAAGTGGTTCATGAAACAAAGAAACAGAAACTGCAAACATTTATATCATCAAAAATGGATTAAGATAGGAGAGTCATGAAGTGGACCCAATAGGGTGTCTTGCATGCATTTTTGTGAATGTTTTAGAAAAACCTACAATAAGAAACCCAACAACAACAAATATCAGTCTTATTGGTGAAGAATCATGGGTTTACTACACAAATTATCCAACATCATGGATTGTTTCTCTGCATATGGCTAGGTGTAAGCCCACTCTAATTAGCATCCCCCTCTGCCCTTTCTCCCATCTATTTTTGTTCAAGGAATGGAAACATTTAAGATGTGATTTGTGCCATTCAAGCTCAGCTCCTTAATAACAATGCCTCAGAAGAAGTCAAAGCATGAAATTCATTTACTCACCACCACCACCACCATAACAACAGCAGTAGAAGTAGAGGCAGTATGAATTACAATGGTGATAATAGAGGAGGCAGGAGGGGGCATCTGCAGTGGGGCTCCCAACAGCAAGGACAGTCTTGGCCATATAAAGGGACCCCCCCTCACTATGGAATGGCCATGTTTCCTTGCAACCCCCCAAATAAGTTGACCCCTGCAGGTATACATGTTCACAAACAAATAAACTAACAACAATAAAGAATAGATGAATGTGTGACCCCTTCTTATTTGTATGAAACACTGATGTATGTGCTGACACATGAGGTAGGCTTTCTCATGTTTCTCATATTATTATGTTGTTATAATCTTAGACTGATGCAGTTCCTAGTGTCAGGAAAAACCTGGGGATCATGACTCCTGGATCATATGTATGTATGTGTATATATATACCCAACAAACAAACAAATGGGGTACCAAACAGGAACAAGGAAGTTATGAGAAATGCGTTTGTATAATGGAAGGCTTTCCCGGAAGCAACGCAGAGTGCTACACGAGGAGAAAGGCATGGTAGAGAAGGGAGAGGGAGAGGAAGACCACGACGACGAAAGGGCAGAGATTCAAGTGGGCAGAATCACCGACTTCGGCGGGTGGGCGGATGGGTGGATCAGTGAAGCGCCGCAAATCTGGCGTGGAAGCTCTGAAACCTGCCCCTCATGGGTTGCTCCGGTACGGGAAGTGAGTGACTCCTTTCCAGGTGCTTTCCTCCAGTCCATGATCTCCCGCCGGACACCCTCAAGGTCGCAGCGGACGATGACTGCCTGACCGACGACGCTCCAGACACTGCCTGGCGCACGGTGGAGACCTGTCCTGGCTCCTCCTCCGCATGATAACGAAGCTCGCCACAGCCTTGTTGCAGCAGCTCCACGGCAGTCGTAGCTTCCATCGAGAATTTCGGTGGCGATGGCGTTATGTGGCAGCAATGGACCCGTCCACAGTGGCGGATGTGCACCTACCCCCCCTCCCCCCCCTCCCCTCCCGCCCCAAGCGACGACGGTGACGATGTCGATGCAGCAGTGCGGGATGGGGACAAAGCATGGTAATAATAAAATAAGAATGATAATAATAACAATAATAATAAAGTGGAGGCGAGATCCGGCAGTACGCATGCATGATTGGAGAGTGTCATCCTGCGGAGCTTCCTGCAATCGCAGTCGAACATTCTCCCCTCCCTTCCCCGCCTCCAGTGCCTGGAATCACCACACTATACTCTGCAACTGGGCAGGGAGTAACCCACACCAGTACCAGTACCATACTGATACCAAGGGTGTTGTCCCGTAGCCCTAAACTCCCACACTGTGCACCCTACACCCGACCCCCTCCTTCCTTCCTTCCCCGCGCCAAATCCACCCTATGACCGTGGGTCAAGGCAAGGGTCAAGGTTGTCCAGGAGAGAGACTTCTCAACCATTATCCCCCTCTACTCCTTCTGAGATGAATCGTTATATTTACTTTTTGTATCCTTTCAGTTATTGCAATTCAATGTACTACAAATCATGCATGTTGGAATAAAATAAAATAAAATAAAAGTAGTCATTCTCAGTCCAAATCATATTCTATTCGTTGATTTTTGTTATCTTCGAGATTTCATACAATTTCCACCGTCATTATCTTTGTAATCGTTATTATAATTATAATTATTATTATTGTTATCCAGATATTATGTTGCAGAAGGTTCTAGAGAGAGACATGAGAACATGCTAATGTGAAGCAGCATGATCTAAAGCAATATTCCACACAGCCATCAAATGTATCATTTTATTTATATTTAATGGATTTTTAAAAATTCAAGTCAACTTGTGTATGTGCAGTTAGTTCGTTCATATTCTTTTTCATGTAGACAAAGGTAATAGAGCATGCAAAAGCAGAGAGCATTGATACCCTGTGTTTGTACAATTGACCAATAAACTACTTTCATACTTTGATTGATTTTCTTTTTCTATTTCTCATTTATATTCGTTCTCTTTTCCTAAATCTCGTATATTAATCATTATTTTACAAAATGATTGAGACTACTGAGACTGAAGTGATAATTTATGACACAACAAATCTTTTTTTTTTTCATTTTTTTTCATTTCTTTTCTTTTCTTTTGTTAGAACATGTCACATGTTGGTTATTCCACTGCAATAAATCTTGTTTGAAAAGTTCCATAATTATTTGTGAGTAACTCAATAATGAGCAATGAAAAACGATTAATTATTTTGTAATAAAACCCATGGTTCATTCATTTCATTTTGATCCTTGTTAGGATTCAAAAAGCCATGTAAGTATCTTTAGATGAATAAATTAGTGAGGATTGCATCTCAAACAAAAAAAAATAACAATTGAAAATTGCTCAATAGTCTAACCAATGTAATATACTCATTCGTGCTTATAATTATCATACATTTCTATGCCAAATTTCTTCCTAATCAATACATTTCACAAGTTTCTATCCACATCTTGTGCTTCACTTTCGTAAGACAACTCCTTGAACAAGTATGTTAATGAAAATAACATCATTACTACAAATTTCAAAGACTACATACCTAACATGTAGAGACAAAATTATTGCAATAAAAAGGCTACATTGTTTGTAGAATTTGCGCATGGCATTGAAGTGTGCTTAACCTTTTACCTTGGAAGTTGAGCGTATGCCACGTGGACA